AAAAGATGGAGAATATGTTGCAAGTTTGTTCATTAAAGCCATCAAAGAGGTCAAAGAAGCAAATGTTGTTCAGATTGTAACTGATAACACATCCAACTACAAAGCTGCTGGGTTGAGCATCGAAAACAAATATTCACATATTTTCTGGACTCCATGTGTGGTGCATAGTTTGAATTTGGCATTGAAGAGCATATGTACCCCACCAGATAAATCAGCTCAATATGATCAATGTAAGTGGATTTCAGATTTAGTTTCTCAAGTGCAGAATATTCGTAATTTTATTCTCAACCATAGCATGGCATTGTCTATTTTCAATGAATATTCTACTTTGAGATTGTTAAGTGTAGCAGAAACCAGGTTTGCATCCAACATCATCATGGCTGTACGTTTGAGGGAAGTTAAGACATCCCTTGAGAAAATGGTGATGGATGCAAACTAGAAAATTTATAGGGAGGATGGCAAAGTGTGGCTGAAGCTCGTGAGGTAAAACAATGTATTGTGGATGACTCATGGTGGGGTAGCATAGATTACCTTAAGCTTTACTAAACCTATCATTGACATGTTAAGGCAAGCAGACACAGACTCTCCTGTTTTACATCTGGTATATGACATGTGGGATACCATGATTGAAAGTGTGAAAAAAATCATCTTTGACCATGAAGAGATAGACATAATTGTTGGTCAATCAACCTTCTTTAATGTCATTCACTAAATTTTAGAGAGTAGATGGAACAAAAGTAATACTCCTTTACATTGTATGGCCATTCATTGGTTCCAAAATACTACTGCCATGCTTGGCTCCAAGATAGTAGTAATGGAATTCCAAGAATATCACCACATGAGGATCATGAAGTCTCCATGAATAGAAGCAAATGTTTGAAGAGGTTGTTTCCTAATCAAACTGATTTAAGGAAAGTTTATGCTGAATATGGAGCATTTTCTAGTGGGTCAGACTATTTCAATCAGCCTCATGTCATTGATGCAAGAATGTTTGAGGAACCTCTTTCATGGTGGGCCAATCATGGTGCTTCTGCACCATTACTACAAGCATTGGCTTTTAAATTGCTTGTGCAGCTAGGATCTTCCTCTTGTTGCGAGAAAAATTGGAGTACATATTCTCTAATTCAAAGCGTTAAGAGAAACTGACTAGCAACAAGTAAAGCTGAAGACTTGGTGTTTGTGCATTGCAATCTTCGCCTTTTGTCAAGGAAGAGCAAGGAGTATAAAGAAGGACCCACAAAATATTGGGACATATGTAAGTTAACTCACTTTCAATTCAATAAATAGTAATAAAAGTATTATTTATGACTAGCTAAAAATAATTTTTCTATGTTTTTTTTTCCTTTATAGGTGGAGATTTGTTTGATATAGAAGGGCATGACATAATGGAGCTAGCACAAATTTCCCTTGATGATCCAGAGATGCAAACCATGACTTTTGATGATGACAATGAAAGTCAGCAAGTTGTTGTTGAAGATTAAACCAATTGAAGAAGAGTGACAGTGCTAGTGTTTTTTTTTTTTTTTGGATAAATAGTTAACTAGTTTTTTTGTAGTCATCTATTCTTGGTTTAAGAGTTGAAGACTTCAAAGAAATTGTATTTTTTCATTTCAAGAACTATGCAGGACAGGACCTTTAAGGATATTATGTTTTTTGGATAATTTATTTTGGTATATGTTTTTTGGATAATTTATTTTTGTAACATGTAATGAAATTACATTTGCTAGATGTTTTATGAATTATCTATTTGGTTGGCACATGATTTTAGAGTTGATTTTATTTTACAATTTAAATAAATTTATACTAATTTTTGTTTAGCCGTATCCACGTACCCATATCTAATTTTTGGGTACTTTTTAGACGTACCCGCGTATTCCTCATTTAGGAATTTGACGAGTTTGACTCTTAGATACATACCCGCACCCGACACCCGTATCCGAGTCCGTGTAACGTAGGTAGGAACAGGGTATAATGGGGTACCTGGCACGAATGATGGCAGTATTAGTTGTCTAATCTAATGTTTCTTTGGAGGATTTAGATCTTTTCACAGAAAATTCATGTTTATTTGTAGTAGCAATTTCATCGGTACTACTTTTATGGATTTATGGTAGTTGCAGTTGTCTAGCCCTCATGAAGAATTACTTTAAACATGGTGGTTGACCAGAAGGGTGATGGTCCTTTTTCCTAGAGACATTACTTGTGGTTTGGCATGTTCCTTCATATGTTGCTGCCAGTATTTTTCAAGCTTTTCAAATTTAAAAGTTGTACTGAGTGTTATTTATAGCACACTAACCAGCTAGAGATGCCACTACAATTTTATATATATCTTAGTGACTATAGATGTCTGTTGGTGAAAATATCAGAAATTAAACTATATTATTGATAAATAATGCAAAGAAAATGAGATACAAATAGATCAGGTTAAGGCACGGATATCTCGTTTTCTTTAAGGAGATCAAGCCCACTACGGTAGGAAGAATCCAAATACCGATGCAGCAGTCACAACACTATGACTTGTCTCCTCCAGGACACAACAGCCCGACCACTTGTCGTATGGTTCAGGCCAACTCTGCACAAGATGGTGAACCCAAAGCTCCACCAATAAAACACCATTCTTTGCTAGTAATCTCTCTTGTATAGGAAATAGTTTTTTTTTATAGATAGAAAAGAGTAGACTATATATAGGCTATAAGGACCTTACAGTTACACTAAAATAATGACCATTAACCAAGTTCATGAATTCTATTTAACCTCCATTTATGACCAAGAGGTTACCAAAGTAATAAAACCCCATTTATGAAAAAGATAAACCAATAAATAAATATAAGATATTAAAATGGTCCAACAATGTCCAAATTCACAAAGCCTTTTTATATATATCTTAGTAACTATAGATCAAGATTTTAAAAAGCGGCCGCAACCGTTACGTAACACCGTTACGTAATGGTTGTGGTGATTGCCGCCACCCGTTTTGACCGCTTTTGCGATGTGATTGAGATTCACAGGTGTGTCGGCTGTAGCGGCTGCCGTAGCAATCGTAACGGTGTTGTAACGGCCGTAACGGTCTGTTATACACCGTTATATAACAGTTCCGAACGGCTTCTTTTGAAAAAAAAAAGAAAGAAGAAGCTAAAAATGGAAGAAGAGGGAAGATTGAAGAGTAAGAGATGGAGAGAAGAGAGAAGATGAAGAGCATGTTATTGATTTGTTGAAACTATAAAACTTATACTATTCTATTCAGCTGCTATCACTTAACCATTTTGTTTGTGTGTGTCTATCTATATATTGTTTAATAATAATAATAATAATAATAATAATAATAATAAGTGTGGTCATTATCTATTTAGTTTAATTAAAATATATATATATATATATATATATAGGCTCTTATTTATTCTCTTATTTTTGTCACTGTTTATCTTATATACAATAGTTAATGATTGATTTTTTTTTGTAAAATATCTAGAAAACATAACACCTATAATTATATATTAATACATCTTGTATACATGCCAATACTTTTTGATTAGTTTATTTTCTTTTTATTTACAGGTTATCTAAAAAGAGAATGAATATTCAAGTGATTCAAAAAAAAAATCTTTATAATTTATTTTTTTAATTTTTATATGATTACATTAGAATGTATAATTTATTTTTTAAAACTATTCAATTCTACAAGTATGATAAATAATAATTACAAAAATAATTTTATACATCTAACTCCAATAATTTTTTTTGGTTGCCACAAGCATAATATGAATTTATGACATATAAAGTCATTAATTATTAAAATCAAATGTAAAAAACTCAGTTTATAGTGATTTAAAAATATAAAATATATTGAATCATATTTAAAAATTTACAAAAATTGATCAATATTTATTTTAAAACCCAATAAATGTGATTATGAAAAAAAAATATGCGTATCGGTAAGTTTTTTTCAAATTGTGCGAGAAATAAAAAAATTAACGGAGCATAATATGAATTTATGACATATAAAGTCATTAATTATTAAAATCAAATGTAAAAAACTCAGTTTATAGTGATTTAAAAATATAAAATATATTGAATCATATTTAAAAATTTACAAAAATTGATCAATATTTATTTTAAAACCCAATAAATGTAATTATGGAAAAAAAAATATGCGTATCGGTAAGTTTTTTTCAAATTGTGCGAGAAATAAAAAAATTCACGGTTCCGGTTACCGCAACCGTTACGCTACGACCTTTACACCCCGCAACCGCAACCGCGCCACCGCCACCATTACGGCAACCGCAACCACTTTTCAGAACCTTGCTATAGATATTCAAATTCACAAAGCCTCTGCAGTACTCTATAAAATTATATTTTACTAACTCTGTAACCATTTTTTCCCCTCTCTTTAATCTCCTTTGAGGAGTTTGACCGAAGTTCTTCTACCTATTTTTTATCACTTGCCAAGGTTGAAACATTAACACCATATTTCCATTTCAGAAGTTTGAGCAGGATGTTGATTATATTCCAATGCCAATTGTTCAAATAGACCACTATTCAAATTCTGATGCAACAATTGTGCAAGTTAGCTTTGGAGATCACTGTTAGAAAAATACGACTGTTTGAAAAATACAATAATAGAAAAATGTAACTTTCACAAAAATATAATTATATTTAAAATAATGAAAATAATAATAATTTGAAAGAAGTTAGTTTTTTTTTTTTAGATGGGAAGGAAGGTAGTTGAAGTATAAAAACATTTTAATAGAAGATAGTTAAAGTAGATGGCCTTATTAGAGTATATATTAAAAAAATAAATAGCAAAAATAATAAAGTAAAATTTTAAATAACTATTTTGATTACCCTTTCAAGAGATGCTCTAAGTCTCCATAATGAACGTGGATTTGAACCCAAATTAAATTGGACCCCAAACCAAAGAAGCCCACAAAAACAAACTGGGCCTCTGAATTTTCAGCCCATTTCAAACCGTACTCTTCTATTAGCTTCTTCTTGTCCTGCCTTCACCATCATCAGGGTTTTACACTCTCTCTCTCTCTCTCTCTCTCTCTCTGTGTAAAACACCGCCATAAACCCTAAACATGGAGTGTGTAGCTAAAGTCCACCGTCGTTGCCAACCACTCCACCTCTCCCTTCATCACCACCGCCCATCATTCTCCAGACCCATTTCTTCACTCTCCTTCAGAACCCCATCACCATCATCATCATCATCTTCACTCTCAATCAGAGCATCTTCATCACCATCACCATCACCATCACCATCATCTTCATTCTCAGACCCAAATCTCAAAAACCCTAAAGCCACCCAATTCACCCCAAACCCTTTCCCTTTCTCTCTCCTAAAAACCACCGCCATCGCGGCGGTCGCCGCCGCCGCCGTCCTCTTCGCCCGCTTCAACCTCAAACCCCTCGTTTCTTTCGCCGCCATTTCTCCGCCGGTCTCCGCCGCCGAAACGGCGGCGAGGGAAGCTGGTTCGGACGAAGAGAAAGAGCGAACCCTAGAAGAGTACGCGAGTTCTCATCCCGACGATGTTCAAGCCCTCCGGAGCTTAATGGAAGCGAAGATCAAGAATCGAAAGGTCGACGAAGCGATTGCCATTGTCGAACAGTTGATTGGACTCGAACCCGAAGACGTCGAGTGGCCATTGTTGAAAGGCCACTTGCATCGTTACAATGGAGATCTCGAGATGGCGAAATTAGGGTTCAATGAGATACTCGAGAAAGACCCTTTTCGTGTGGAGGCTTATCACGGGCTTGTGATGACAGTGTCGGAGGCCGATTCGGATTTCCAATTGAAGGAGATTGAGAAGAGGCTTGTGGAGGCAATGGAGAGGTGCAAGAGGGAGAAGAAAAAGGATGACTTGAGGGACTTGAAGCTCTTGATTGCGCAAATTCGGGTTATCGAAGGGAATTACAGTGATGCTTTGAAGATTTATCAAGAGCTTGTGAGGGAAGAACCGAGGGACTTTCGACCGCATTTGTGTCAAGGAATTATATACACTTTGTTGAGGAAGAAAGATGAGGCAGAGAAGCATTTTCAAAAGTATCGGAGGCTCGTTCCGAAGGAGCACCCCTATGCTCAGTATTTCGATGATAATATGATTGCAACCAAGGTTTTTGCACAGAAGGTGGAAAATGAGAGAATGACTTCAAAAAGTTGAAGGGAAATGGGTTGTCAAATTCCATGTGGTGGATCGCATACGAATGAGGTTCTTCTCTGTTACTCTGCTCTGGTTTCTCTTTTTGTTTATGTTTTTATATAGCTGTTTGTTTCTTGAAGTGTAGCTAGGAAGGTTATCACAAACCAAGAGAAACTCAGTGGAAAGTTGTGGTTGGTTGAGTGGTTACATGGGTGTCAAAATTTTTGCAGACCAACTACTTAGGAGAGTATGTATACCAGTTTTTCTGATGAGGAAATGGTTAACTTATTGCTTCCTTGTTTTTTCTCTGGTGACATGCTTTAATTTTTGTTTTTTGATCCAGTATATTGAGGATGAATCAATGTGTCGTTGTGTTGTTCAAATTTAGTCAATTATGGATATTTGTATGGTTTGTCGGAGTTAAATTGCCTTTTGGTTCTATGTATATAATTATGTATTCATACAAAGCGTCATGAATGGTGGGTTTATATAGAATGGAATAATTTTGACAGATGGTAGAAGTTTAAAATGTGAAACCGCTGCATCTTATGCTTCCAAAGTTGGTTATATAGGGTCTATACAATCAAAAGGGTTGACAGGTCTAGTTTAGTTTGATAGCCTTGTTCCGCTTAGACTGCTTTTTTGAGACGTGTCGGTAGTTTCTGTATAGACAACTTGTACTGAGTCGTCCACTGGAAAGCTGTGAGAGATACAGGACTCTCTGAGCTGAGTAGCCTTCTCGTTTCCTTTGGCTTTACTCTTGCCAGAAGCTCCTAGCTGCCCCGTATCTGTATTCTCTTTGTAAAAAGGGGCAGTTACTGGCTGGTCCTGTGGACCGGACTATTTACTAACTTTCAATGATAAATTTGTCACTATAAAAACATTTAAAAAAAATACAATTCGACCACTTACATTTCTTGCATCATATTTCAATATAAACTAATACAAATAAATTAAAAATAATTCAAAACTTACAAACAAAAGCAAAAATGTACCTATCATTTAAGCCGTGAAAGTTTTTGCTTTGGTCTTTCAAGATCATTTTTGTGATAGTGGAAGTCTATCTCTATCTTTAGGCACAGAGAAATTTTTGTCCCGAGCTAGTTAAAAAAAAATTAAAAAATTAATTAGGTGTATCATGAGAAAAAAATAATATTTTATTTTAAAATTTAATACATTATACTTATTAATAAATTTATATTAGACTATAATACGAACTAAAATTTTTAAATTTTAATTGCACGTACTAAGTTATTATTTGAGTGCAAATAGAATCGCCCGACTTATGAGTAATTTGCCACTCAATCAATGATAAAAGGGTAAACAACTAATAAATCCTAATAATTGGACTTAATTCCTATTAAGTCCTATTGAAAATAAATCTTAGTAAAATTATCGCTAAAAATAGTTTTTTTTAACGATTTTTTACATATGTCATTAAAAATTAACAATTAATGACTTTTTTTGTTACAATTTTTATAAATTGTCACTAAAATTTATAATTAGTGACGGTTTTCTGTAATGAAATTTTTTAAACTATTACTGAAAGTTGAAAATTAGTGACAATTTTTTTAAATTATCGTTAAAACTTATAATTAATGATATTTTTATGTGACAATTTTTAAACTGTCGCTGAAAATTAATAATAAGTGACTTTTTTTAATAGTGTTTGATGACAAACACCATTAATTATCACATGACCTATTAGACAATAAGTCCATCTGTTAAGACCTACTCTAAGCCCCTATGATAAAATGTGGATGTGGACCTAAATTAAATTGGACCCCCAAACCAAAGAAGCCCACAAATAGAAGCCCATTTCAAACCATACTCTTCTCTTAGCTTCTTGTCTTGCGTTGCCTTCACCATCATTAGCGTTTTACTCTGTGTGTGTGTGTGTGTGTAAAACACTGCCATAAACCCTAAACATGGAGTGTGTAGCTAAAGTCCAACATCGTTGCCAACTACTCCACCTCTCCCTCCATCACCACCGTCCGTTATTCTCCGAACCCATTTCTTCACTTTCCTTCAGAACCCCACCACCACCATCATCATCTTCACTCAAATCATCACTCTCAATCATAGAATCTTTATCACCATCATCTTCATTCTCAAACACAAATCTCAAAAACCCTAAACCCCAATTTACCCCAAACCTTTTCCATTTCTCTCTCCTCAAAGCCACCGCCATCGTGGCGGTCACTGCCGCCACCGTACTCTTTGCTCACTTTAACCTCAAACCCCTTATTTCTTTCGCCGCCATTTCTGCGCTGGTCACCACCGCCGAGGGAAGCTGGTTTGGACGAAGAGAAAGAGCGAACCCTAGAAGCGTACATGAGTTCTCATCCTAACGATGTTCAAGCCCTTCGCAGCTTAATGGAAGCAAAGATCAAGAATCGAAAGGTCGATGAAGCAATTGCCATTGTCAAACAATTTATTGGACTCGAACCCGAAGATTTCGAGTCGCCATTGTTGAAAGCTCATTTGCATCGTTACGATGGAGACCTCGGGATGGTGAAATTAGGGTTCAATGAGATACTCGAGAAAGGCCCTTTTTCGTGTGGAGGCTTATCATGGGCTTGTGATGACTGTGTCAGAGGCTGATTCGGAGTTCCAATTGAAGGAGATTGAGAAGAGTCTTGCGGAGGCAATGGAGAGGAGCTAGAGGGAGAAGAAAATGGATGACTTGAGGGATTTGAAGCTCTTGATTGCACAAATTTGGGTTATCGAAGGGAATTATAGTGATGCTTTGAAGATTTATCAAGAGCTTGTAAGCAGTGTTATTAAAGGCGCGCCTAGATATGCGCCTAGGCCCAAGTCTCATCCAGGCCTAAGGTTTGCACCTTTTAGGGTTTCAAGTCAGGTGACTTCGATAAGGTATGCCTAGGCGTGCGCCTTGGCCCAAGCCCCATCCAAGCCCAAGGTTTGTGCCTTGTGATGTTCCAAGCCAGGCGACTTCGATAAGTAGCCTGACTGGTCCAAGGCACAATAAGGCCCAAGACTTGTGTGTTGAGGGATTTTTTTATTGTTGCTTTAATTGGTTTTGTTTAAAATCTGACCATTGATTTAATATGGTAAAGTTATAAAAGATCTCTACTCTTATTACAGATGCTAATACAGATCTCTACTCCCAAATCAATGATAGAAAAAAAATTAGTCCTAATTCCTAATCTCCGAAGAACACTAAATGTTTAACGTTTCATTTTGTTTGGAGTTGCCCTATCTGTGCTAATTATAAGGCTGTAGTTTCGCTCTCTTTAAAACCTGGGTTTTAAGGAGAAGTGTGGGTTGAGCTTTTCAACTTGGTATCAGAGTTTGGTTGGGCTTGTGCCTGGTGGGCTATTTGTCCAGCTAGTGTGTGTTGTGGTCCAAGAGGGTGTGTTGGAATGTGACCCACATCGCTTGGAGTTGTCCCATCTGTGCTAGTTATAAAGTTTTAGTTTTTCTCTCCTTAATATCTAGGCTTTAAGGATCAGTGTGGGCTGGGTTTTTCAACTATGTTGAAGTTGAACCCTAAATTATTTACTTATATTATTTTTTATTTTTTATTTTTTTTTCCTTTTCCGTATAAGGTGCGCCTCGCTTCAGTGAAACTTACGCCTCGCCTTACACCTTGAGCCTAGACCCCAAGAGACCTTGGCGCCTTAGTGCACCTATCACCTTTAATAACACTGCATGTAAGGGAAGAACAAAGGGATTTATCAAGATTTAACCATTGGTTCAATGGTTAAGACTTGGCCTAATTGGGAATTGTTTTAGTTTTTCTCTCCTTAATATCTAGGCTTTAAGGATCAGTGTGGGCTGGGTTTTTCAACTATGTTGAAGTTGAACCCTAAATTATTTACTTATATTATTTTTTATTTTTTATTTTTTTTTCCTTTTCCGTATAAGGTGCGCCTCGCTTCAGTGAAACTTACGCCTCGCCTTACACCTTGAGCCTAGCCCCCAAGAGACCTTGGCGCCTTAGTGCACCTATCACCTTTAATAACACTGCTTGTAAGGGAAGAACAGAGGGATTTATCAAGATTTAACCATTAGTTAAATGGTTAAGACTTGGCCTAATTGGGAATTAAGGGGTGACCATTGGTTCAAGTCCTGGGACCACCACTTTGTGCATTATGCCAAAGGTTAGGTGTGTACTCAATCTTTCCCCTCCCAAACACACATTAACATGTACTAATTGGGCGTTGTTTTTTTGTGAGGGAAGAGCTGAGGGATTTTCGACCGTATTTGTGTCATGGAATTATATACACTTCGTTGAGGAAGAAAGGTGAGGCAGAGAAGCATTTTCAGAAGTATTGGAGGCTTATTCCGAACGAGCACCCGTATGCTCAGTACTTCGATGATAATATGATTGCAACCAAGGTTTTTGCACAGAAGGTGGAAAATGAGAGAATGGCTTCGAAAAATTGAAGGGAAAAATGGGTTATCAAATTCTATGAATGGCTTGCTGGGAGTGCAGTGATTGTGGTGGATCATGTACAAATGAGGTTCTTCTTTGTTACTCTGCTCTGGTTTCTCTTTTTGTTTATGTTTTTATATAGCAGTTTGTTTCTTGAAGTGTAGCTAGGAAGGTTAGCACAAACCACAGAGAAAGTCAGTGGAAAGTTGTGGTTGGTTGAGTGGTTACATGGGTGTCAAAATTTTAGCAGACCAACTGCTTAGGAGTGTATGTATACTAGTTTTTCTGATGAGGAAATAGTTAACTTATTGCTTCCTTATTTTTTCTCTTGTGACATGCTTTAATTTTTGTTTTTTGATCCAGTATATTGAGGATGAATCAATGTGTCGTTGTGTTGTTCAAATTTAGTCAATTATGGATATTTGTATGGTTCGTCGGACTTGAATTGCCTTTTGGTTCTAGGTATATAATTATGTATCCGTACAAATCGTCATGAATGGTGGGATTAAATAGAATGGAATAATTTTGACAGATGGTAGTAGTTTAAAATGCAAAACAGCTGCATCTTATGCTTCCAAAGTTGGTTATATAGGGCCTATACAATCAAAAGGGTTGACAGATCTAATTTAGTTTGATAACCTTATTCCGCTTACACTGCTTTTTTGAGACGTGTTGATAGTAGTGTCTATATATAGACAACTTGTACAGAGTCTTCCACTGAAAGCTGTGAGAGATACAGGACCCTCTGAGCTGAGTAGCCTTCTCATTTCCTTTGGCTTTACTTGTGCCATAAGCTCCTACCACAGAATGAACTGAAACAGCTGCCCATATCTATGTTCTATTTGTAAAAAGGGGCAGTTATGGGCTGGTCCTGTGGACCAGACTATTTACTAACTTTCAATGATAAATTTGTCACTATAAAAACATCTTAAAAAAATACAATTCAACTACTTACATTTCTTGCATCATATTTCAATATAAACTAACACAAATAAATTAAAAATAATTCAAAACTTACAAACA